CCCAAGGTCAAACTGATGTGATCAGTAAATACATCTTTTTAAACGCCACAACTTTTATCTGAAACATTTTTTTCTAAAATGCTTAGTTTTCGAGATATTTCACCGGTCCGGGACTTTTTGAACACCCTGTATATTATATATATATATATATATATATATATATATATATATATATTTGTATTTGTAATACATTAATATACAAATTTTATATTATATATATATATATATATATATATATATATATATATATATCTTTATGTATTTATACTTATAATATTTTATTATACTATTTGAATGGTTGTAAATAAATATTCGAGACATTCCTATAAGCACTTTTGCTTTAAATTAACTTTCATTGCTGGGGTAACTCACGTTTTAGCTATATTGATATAACTCTGTAACAAATTTCTTTTAATATAACAGCTAAAAAATTGGTCACGTATACCGAATTATATTTTCCAGTAATTGTTGTATATAATTACTCCTGCTATACTAACAAATCTACCGTGCTGTAACATCAAATTTTATTATGTATAATTACAAATCTTATGCAATTCTATGACTTAATTATAATATAGTAAACTGGTTGTCCGCATATTATAGCTATTTTCTAAGTTAACGAGGTTTTTTTAAGTTAACGAGGCTTGTGACAGAAAATCCTTTGTGTCTCTATCATGTTTGCACAGATGATCACAGTTAATTGCCTGAAGCGTTGCAACTTCGAAAAACTTCTGAAAAATGTAGCATCTTGCTGCGGTTTTCCCTATACGAGGTAAATTGATCGAGCAGGCTTGAAATTAACCAATATAAATAAAAATATCGGAGTAAAAGTATCAGGATAAAAAGGTACAGTGTAGAAATGCAGCCGAGAAGATGACACAAAACAAGCGACACAAAAAAATGTAAATGCGGGATAAAAGAAATATAAATACGGTCCACACGGCTCTCCGATCATTTCACGTCTAAGCTCGACGCGTGCAGTTTTAATAATTGTTTGCGATGCCGAGTCCCCGATTTGTCGAGTTTGCGATTGGAAGCGCAAACAGGTATTCCATCCCTTGCGGAAATATAGGTTCGGTGAAACCACGCAAACACGTGCGTGCCGAATGCTCGTATACGGCACGTGGTATTGAATGCGGGAGCAAACGCGCGATGCGCCGCGAAGCACACCAGAAGCATAAATGATAGATCGATACGGTATTTTTGTATGGGAGTTGCAGATTGTTTGCTTTCCTCTTGTTTTTTTTCGCGCTTTTTGCTGCGTACTATAATGCTATATTCGTCGGCCCAGCGAATTGCTCCAGTTTACGGTCCGCGGTGGCGCCGTACACTCCGCAATGGGATTCGCTCTTTGCCTTATTTAGCGGTATCCCCGAGGAAAAAAAGAACTGACTATTGCGTAAACAACAAACGCGTTCACATCCGCGCACTGTCCCAAGAGACTTGTGTATTTTTTTGCAGATTTTATTAATCGACAAAGCACGCGGCCGACGGATTAATAGAGGATGCAAGATGGGATTCTTCACGGTCGGTGCACGCTCTTTTACGTTCCTCCCCCGTTCCTTTTGACGCTAATTCTAAACGTGGTTTTTCTATTTGAAAAATCCGGGATTGTATTCTCGCACAGCGCGCGCCAATCAATTCGCGCTTCGAATATATTCCTCCGCGCGAACGCATAATTTCGCGCCTTAACGTCGAGGATAAGAGGGAGGGGGCAGGGGAGAAAGGGATCAGACGTTCTATTACGCATCTTTCTCTCACGAAATCGAAGCGTTCGCTGGGAATATTTTAGAATATTTTAGCGGGTTTCGCGCGCGGCGTTAAATCGTCGCCGACGCGCCAGATGCCGCCCGAATGTACCACTCTTTTCTCCCTGAAAAAAAAAGAGTGAAGGGGGAAAGGGAGCGAATCCGGGTTATGTACACACGCGATCGAGGTGGTGGAAACTCTTTTCTCTCTCCCCCCCCCCCCTCCC